CCCCGCAATGGGATCCAACATGCACCAGCTCTCCTCTTTTGGCAGGTGATCGGGGAGACTGTTGCAGCCACTGAAGAGGGGCAGCTGGGCAGTCCCTAGGACGAGGTGTGGGCCCCGGCTTTGCAGGCTCCCGCTGGTCCTTGGCTCAGATTGGTCTGGGTCCCTACCCAAGCCCAGCAGGTTTGCGGAAGACTCACTCCCACCATGGGGACGCCATACTTCCTTAGGCTGGGTATGTTAATTTGTGGTGTGAACAGCATTAAGAACACTTTTAGAAGAGGGAAAAATTCCTAATTCTATCACCAGAATTACCCCAGTTTCCAGGATATTTTAAGGCAACAGACCTGCACAATGGACACTGGGAGCTCGGAGGTGACTAAGGCCTGGTCACTGTTTCTGAGGAATCCAGAATCTAGGGACAGGGCAGCAGGTGCATACACAAAGAATTCCACGAAGGAGGCCTGGAGGTGCAGTGTTTAAGAGCCGGCTGCTCACCCCGAGGCCAGTGGCTCACACCTACTCCTCCTGTTGGTTCACTTGGAAGCAGATCCATGGGTTCTGGGTCTGCTTCTGGAAAGAGGACAGTCTGGAATACCTTCTCCCGAGGTGGTTCCACTCTGTCCCACCAGCTCATTGCGGGCTGCAGTGAACTTCACGATGGGAATGCGATACTCACCGAGCCAGCTTATGACGGGGGTTCAAGGGCAGATTTGGGGCAAACTTGGGGACTCAGGGAGGGTAGGCTTCCCAGAGAGCTGACAATTGAGCGGACTCTCAAAGGAGGAAGCGACGAGCATGGGTTTTATTAGTAGGTGTTGAGGCTCACTGAACGTTGCACATTTTTCCTGCTTGGTTGCATTGCTTTATTTTATTTTATGTTTTTAAATAAGAAGAGACCCCCAAAGGCTGGGTGACCAGGGTCACACGCGCCCTTTTCCTGTGCTTTGTGAATATCTTTTCCTTGCTCTTTGGTTCTCTTTAGGGTGGTGGCTTTCCAAGAGGCAGAGGGCTGTGGCTAAGAGGGCGGGCCCTGGCTTAGACTGCAGCCACAGTATGTGGTCTTCCTCTACGGAAGCCT